AGGGTTCAATCTGTGAGTCAGCCATGCCCTGACTTAGATCAGCCCAGAGATTGTTTCAGGGTTCAATCTGTGAGTTAGCCATGCCCTGACCGAGATCAGCCCTGAGGTCGTTTCAAGAAATGACTGGCCTTTTCTTGAACAGGGTACATCCTATACAACTTACTTTCTGTTTCTACCAGTGGGTGCTGACGATGAGCTATCTTCTGTTTTCTTAATGAATATTTTGTCTTTTAGCTGCAAACATCAAGTTGATAAATACCATGGTTATACTATTCTCCCTCTAAATCAATTAACTCCTACCCTGGGTTCCAGAGGGATTTTTTCTGTGCATTTACTGACTGAGAGTTGTGAAGCTGCTAGAGGCAAAAAAGAAGCTACTCACTCTTCAACGCTCTCAGTAAATACTCAGAAAAAATCCCTTTGGATTCCAGGGTAATTAACTCCGGGATCAACTATGTAATGCAACTACAGTACTATGTAGCTAGTGCTACTATGATCAAATTTTAATTTCTCCAATTTTAGCTGTTTAAACACGTGTGAAAGTACTTTACATTGGAAGAAAACTTCCTAACCATTTTTTTTTCTTATTGTGAGTAGAAAAGAAAAGCAAAAAAAAAAACATTCTCTCACCTCTTTTGAGTTCTTATTATCATCAGTATGCTCGATCCTTTGCGAGGAGGCTCTTTCTCCTTCTTCTCGTCCACTGTTTTTATTTAACTCGCTCTCATAAACCTTTTGAACAWACGCTGAAGTCTGATGCTCTTTTCTTGTTTTCCTAAGGAGTTTTTTATACTCTCTAATGGCCTTCGTTCTACGGACTTGAGCAAAACCTTGACCTGAACAAAAAAAAGTTTTCCAAATTTTAAACAATCTCGTCCAAACAATTCAAAAAATGTCCGCTCAACAGATATGGAAACTTAAGAGACCGAAACCACTTTGAAAAAAATCATTCTTACCTTTCTCTCTGCTCCCTATTCCAGCAATATTTGCTCTTTTTCGCCATTTACTGCCAGGTTTTTTCTTGGTACTTTTTTCTCTCTCGTCTGCCGCCATTTTGTTTTTAGTAAATGGTTTAATACCGACCTTCATTCGAAAAGAGAAATTCCACAGGTAGCCCAATAAGAGAATGATATCTGTTTTGGTCTACAATGGACCCTCACTTGAAATGGGGTATGGGTGCTCCTATATATAGAAGGGTGGGGACCCTTGTCGGAAATGTTGAAAATGACCCTTAAGAGGTACCGGAGTCCTATCCAACTAATTATTTTTATTCCTAAAAGGTACCAATTATCTATGATCTGAGTGACAGAAGTCAGATAATGAACCAAAAATAAATATTGTGAATTAAAACTGCCATTCTGACTGTCATCATATAATCTCAGGTATCGTATTGCCTCGAAAACACCCTAAGAGGTACTAGAATACCGTCTGGTAGTCCTTTTAGGTTTGTGACACCCTAAGAGGTAACCAATTTCAGATCTAGAACCATATAAGGTACAATGAGCATCCCCACCCTTCTCCAATTGGAGTCCCCCCCCCCTCCCCCAGATATGACTTTTATTGTACTGCAGTTACAAGTAATTTTTGTTCAAAGTAAAATTATTCTCCACCCCTATGATATCACTATCAAAAATCCCTGGATACCCACAAAATATAATCATGATCTATAATTTACTATTTATTTCGTATTTTATTTACATTTTTAACATTACATTGTCTAAAACTGAACCCACATTATGTAAAATCCAAACTTACAGGAAACAAATTTTTTCCTTGTTTTATAACCAAAATAAAAACACCAATTTATTTACCTTTTCAATATCTTAGAAATAACATGACGATATAAAAAAAAATTTTGATCACAGTGGGAGGGTTAGGTGGGTAGATATTTGTCGTGGGATATTCTGTAGTCAGAAATACATCACGGCTAACTCACAGATCGAACCCTGAAACAATTCTGCACTGATCTTAAATTAGAGCTGTCTAAAATTATCAAGGATGCTCATTGTATAATTTAGGGGCTGACATTATAGATTTGAAATCTTACAGGTATCATTAGCATGCATATTGAAAAAGAAAATTCATGCATCATATATTAGAGTGCTTTTCATAATTATTCTGCAACCCAGACGATTTATCTAGATGTGCTGTGTTTTATGCACTACTCAATTGAAACCCTCACACCCTGACCAAGATGCCCTGACCCCTGGGACAGGGTGGGAGGTTCATTCAGATAGTGTTAAATTTACTACTGAAGTTGTTGTTGTATGGGTTAAATCCCTTGTATCCCCATGAATATGTCTCGCCATGTTAATTCACCCTCCTGCCCCAAGGGTTGTCTAAAAATTTTTACAACAGAGTAATAAATAAATTTATAATATATGGTATTTATCAGGGCTTTAAAAACTGTAAACTATGTTAACAGGGCTGTCAACTCTCCCGGATAAACCGGGAGTCTCCAGATTTTGGGCCGTATCTCCCGCTCTCCAGATTAGTCTCAAATCTCCTGGATAATCCCCAAAGCTGACCATTTCTTGTGAGACTCGACTTTTACAACCATAAAATTCCAATTATTTTATGTTGTTTGTGTTATTTTACATCGCTAAAAAAATTAAAACGTTTCTCATAAACTGTTCTTGCAAGCAAGCCCTTGTAATATAAGCGATAATCTGATTGGTCAGAAATAAACCAATCACATCAAATGTTACAAAGTGACAGACGTCTTTTCGCACACTTTTTGAAGCGCTGTGACGTCATGTCCTTTCCCTTTCAATTCTCCAGATTTGAATATCTCGGGGGTTGACAGCCCTGTGTTAACTAAAAATACTCTGGTACGTTTTTGGGGTTCTTTTGGAAAATTTTCAACGGACATTCCAGCTGATTCTTTCAGTTGCTAGTCCTACCCATTTCCATACTTTAACCTTTACCTAACCTGACCCTAACCTATACTTTATGACCAGAGTGCTACTACTATAGGACTGTTAAGTGTGACGTCAACCATTTTACT